AACGAGTCTCTCTATTCACCCCCATTCCCCAAGAGACTTAACTACAAAACTACAAAAATTCCAGAAAGATAACTTATCTTTTAATATCTATTAACTGCAATGAATATATTACGAATATTAAATTTATCCAATTTAAATTTTACATGAACAAAGTATTGCAGAAGTATTATTGAAATAAGAATTTATATTATATCAATATCGTATTATCACTGTTATCTTTAAATTAAATTTCCGCAATCTATCAATAAACGAAGAGAAGCGAGAAGAAAGAATTTGAACGAATTTCGAAAATCGTTCACGTAACAGATCTACAATCTAAGTAAGACAGTCTAGGAAGGCATTTGGCGCTTCCTGTTTCTCAGTTGACTTTCGTTTGCTCATCGTTAGCGCTACTTTTCGAGATTACCGTTCCAAGTTTACATAGGAGACACGGTGGAGGGCTCTAATGGAGGACAAAGTCGAAGCAGCACTAGCCATTTATCGCCAGCCTTTCTTGTCTTTAGCGCGTTTAACACCTGGATCAACTGACCGCATAATCATCGTCGTATGAACTGGAATAATGACCGAGGCGCGTACCTCGCTAAACGAATTAGTGTGTGTGCGTGTGTGTGTATGTATGTGTTCTTTTCTTCCTCTTCTTCTTCTTTTTTTTTTTTTTTCTTTCCTTTCTATTCCTCGTTTCCTCGCTCCTCTCGTTAGGCGCAGGCGTGGCAATGGCATGGTGTTTAAGCACGTTGCCACACGTTTATCGATTTCGAGCTAGTTTTGTGGCCCCCGTGTTTGTTGGACGTATTGTCACCGTACACGCTACCTTTGCCCTTTGAATCGAGGCGTTTCTATCTATATCTTCTTTGGGTATGGATTATGGAAAATTTGCTCGAAAATAATAATAAACGCGAATTTGTAAATATGGAAATTTATATTTCATCTTTCCTCCCGAAACAAATAGGAAATTTGTTCGAAAATAGAGAAAGATTTTGATGTATGGAATTTTTTTTTAGATAGATTACGTAGGAAACTCGAGAAGTTTTTCTGAGAAAAATAGAATTAATGGAGAAAAGACTTTGAAGAAGGAGCAAAAGAGAGTAATGGTGAAAAGAAAGAAGATTCTAAGATTCTAAGAAGAAAAAACAGATTTTGGAAAGAAAAGCGAAGAAAGTATTAGAAAAGAAGAAGAAATCTTTGAGAATTAAATTATGATTAATTTATCGAAAGAAAGGAAGAAAAATAAGAATCTCTAACCAATATCCTATTGTATTAAAATATCGTCACGATACTTTGTCTATGCAATAGACAAGAGACAATGATGTGTCTCTTTTAGCCTTTAAATACAATTGTTTATATCTACGTATGTGGAATCTATCAAAGAGTCTATAAATTATGGAAAATTTATTGGAAGGGAGATAGAAGGACTTAAATTCGGCTTTTAATTAAGTCGAAGATATGTAAAAACGTGACGAAATTGAAGGCATAAGAAAATATTGACACGCGTTCGATAATCGAGAAACATATTTTAAATACAGTCGGAGCTGTGTAATAATACAGGCATAAGCTGCAGTGAAAGCTGCGTAAGTCTTTTGCAATTTTATCGTTTGAGATACGTATAATACGTGGCAATAAGAAGCCACGATGTTCAATATCCTGCTTCATTAGCATGGGAAGAGAAATGATGATGTTAATAAGTATGAAACTGGGCCACCAGCGTTTGTGTGATGTAACTATACTTTGATTTGTTGTGAACGTTCTCTCTTACAAGTGATTCAATTTGAAGATGCAAACGATCCTCCTGTGTATAAGTCTCTTAATTAAATTTTTATCTCCTTAAATACTTTCTTTCTTTTTTCAGACGCATTCTTCGTTTGAAATGGGATTTGCAAAGAAGAAAAAAAAAAGAAAAAAAATCGTGAAACGCTTCACGAGCATTGCAAAATAAAATTTCCTTACATTTCTTCCTCTCCTCCTCGCACTCGCTTCCAAAAAATCCCAAAAAAGATAGATAAAGAAAAACAAAGGATCCTACATTCCCCCAATTCGAAAAAAAAAAAATCTCTCCCACGACACGTTCCTCTTACGTATGTGTGTATCTCAACGCACGTCCCAATTACGAGTTACCAATCATCGCGTGCCCATCCTCTTCAATCCCTCTCTCCCTCCCCCCCTCCCTTCAATCTTCGAGCTCCCCCTATCTCACTTTTATTGCGTTATTATCGCGCTTACACATCGGCCGAGCGCATAACACAAAACGGCTTTCGCCCAACCTTCCGTAAGCAACCGCACACACATCTCTTATCATAACGAATGTGCGTGTCGGCCGTGGGATTAATCGATTTAACACGATTCCCCGAACCCCGGATGGACGGATGCCCGTTTAAACGAGAGCCGCCTCGCCTCACGGACAGATAACATCTTGGACACGGTTCCGTTGCCGCCGCGCCGAATTATAATTGGCCCGTAATTAATGACACTGCTCGATTATTGACAGGCGGAGGGAGGGTGGAGGGGGGAGACGAGGCGCGCGCGAATTACGCGCCCGTTCCACGACCGCGCCCCTTTTTTTCAGGCCCCGCTTATTTTCAGACTTAATTACCTGCGATGTTACGGCATAATCAGCGATCGGCCACTCCGGCTACCACTTTGGACGCTATCGATCCACCAGATATCGAAATATACCGGCCACGGTGAGTACGTGGGCATCCGTTTAGCGAGCTGGCACACGCACTTTCGAATTCTTTCGAAGGGGAGCGAAGAAGCGTCTTGGAAATAGCGAGTGAGAAAGAGACAATAATAAAGAGAGTGAGATTTTATTATTTTTTTTTTTTGTATTTGTTTATTTATTTTTCTCCTTTTCTCTCTTTTACTCAAATTTCGGTAAAGATTTTTGAGTGTATGATCTTTTTAAATGTGTATGATATATATTTATGAGAGATCTTTGGATGATAGAGACTAAAATAAACACAAAAGTTGGTGTACAAAAATTTCGATCGAGGCTTGTTTATTTAGTTATAAGGAATAATTGAGGTTTCGGTTAGTTGAAGCGGGACGGAGATAGAGCGAGACGGCTGTATATTCGTTGCATTGCCGCGCCGAGGCGTGGCGCGCGTGTCACTTTTGTCTCCGTCCTGTTTTATTTAACGCAAACTTCAATCACTTACAACTTAATAAATAAGTTTTTTACTGATCGAGTGAAATTATTCACAAAATAATCTGGGAGAGAATTTGTAGTTTATAAAATCAATTTATTTATTTGATTGAACGATTTTTTTTGATTTTTTTTTTTTTTTAGGTGGATTCTCTGGTCATAGGTTTGGAAAAGATTTTAGCTTGTGGATTGAATATGAAGAGAGTTGGAACTTTTTACATCTAATTAAATCAAAAAGAAATAATTGAAATATTAAAAGAAATATAAAATCGAATGAAAAAGTACGAGTAAATAAAATAATTTGGGAAATCGAATAATAATGTACACGTTACAAGTATTGTTCGTATCATAATACTTATTATTCACTAATGATACTTGTCCATGGTTTGTCATTCATAAAAATGCACAAATGTGTGTGTGTATGTGTGTCTGTATGTATAATATGTATCTCGTGTATAATTTGATTCGCAATATGTGTATGGATGTGTGTACATGTGACAAAATTCGATCGACCGATCGATACAAATGGTTCGAATGTGTGTACTTGGTTGATTTGAAACGTTCGTAAGTAAAAGTTAATTACGAAGAGACGAGGACGGGTGTATTGATACGACCGTGTATACATTATAATATATTTTATCGTTTTGGTATCAAACCAAGGAGGAGGAGAAATACGTGAAATCAACGTGAATGTATTATATACAACGTTACACACACAATGCTTTTCGATAATAACAGTTAAAAAACCTATTTCTTTAAATCGATATTAATAGTTTAACAAACACAGCCTCGCGGTTCGTGAAAACTTAATCGATTATATAACGGAAGATCGTTTTGATCGAGAACGAGTTCCAAAAACGTGTTCCATTTTCTTTCTCGTTTATTTTCTTGACTCGTTTTCTTCTCTTTCTTTTTTTCCCCTTTTCTTCTTTTGCTTTTTCTTCTTATTTACTTTTTATTTTATCGTTATTTTCATCTTCGTTTCAAATGCGTTTTCCACGACATACTTAAAATACGTTTAACATATCCTTCTACTAATACGAATTTCTCGAAGAGTTTAAAATACTTTTTGCGATGCGAGCTGTCCGACTACCTCGAAAATAAACGTCTCGCGCTGTCGATTACCTATATCCAGCGACTGCTTTATATCTAAAATATATTTTCACCCCTCGCAGCTGAAACTCGTCGTCTCGTTTTGATTATTTCCTCCCTTTCTTTTGCTCTTCGAACGTGTTTTAATTAACTCTATGCTCTCTAAAAGAAGAATTACCTTTTTCACGAATTATCACAGATCACAGAATGAAAGTAATGAAATTTTTTGTTAACAATCTCTCTCCTCGAAAATTCAACTCCTTGAAAATTCATTTCATACTATGAGCCGAAGAAAGAAGCCTGACGAATTAAAAATTCTAAATTGATCTAAGGTCTCCTTAAATATCGTGGACATTAAAAACCCTGTGCAAACTTTCGATCCACTCCTTTTCAACGAAGTTTTCAACTGCTGCTCGGGGGGATTCTTTTCGCTACATGCTGCGCTACTTTTCACGCCAAACGTATAAAAGACATCGTCTGCAATCGTCCATTTAACCATTGACGATCGCATCAGACAAGAAAAAGAAAACAAAGAAGTCAAAAGTAAAACAATAATTAAACGAACAAAGTTGGCTAAAGAAAGAAACACTTTCTATCAGCTCACATCGCGGCGAATAAGTGTCGAATAATGATTGAACCCGATCCGTAGAGTCGGGTCACACACCGAGACTTGGCAAATGGAAAAAGATTGATTCATTGAAAAAAGCGCGATACACGTCTTACAATGCGCATCGACGAGGGACAACGATTATAATCCTATCGTATATGGTGTATACTCGCCTAAAAATCGATTGATATCGTTATTAATGACCTCAGTAAATTTCCCGCCAAATATTATCACAACACAATAATGAAAACCGCGTCTCACTTGATCTCGTACGCGTCCAAGTTACCCTTGCGCCTCCTGTAGACGGCCGGCTCTTGCTTCTCGCTCGTACGATTCGCGTGGACGATCGAGCGTTTCACGTTCGCCCGATACTCGTCCTCGTAAGCGTGGAGATATAAGTTCTTTAAAAAAATTTGATTATCGAGCTCAGACGGTGGCAGGAATCGTTTCGAGCGGCTCTGCTGTTGGGCCTCCAACTCTTTAAACGTGAACAGCCTGGTCTTCTCGTCGTCGTAGGCACTGGACCTCTTCGAGATCCTCTTCCTCCCGCTCCTCCTCGGCGACGAGCCGACAAGGTCGTCGGTGTTCCCCTTGTTGGCCATCAGCACGTCGTTCAGGGACAACAGCCTCCTCTTCTGACGGGGAGGACCACTGTCCTCCGATGCGTTTCGTATTCGCTTGCTGCGGTGCTTTGGCATTCCTTCTTTGGCAGGAATCTCGTTGTCCAGCACCGAGGAGGACTCGTTACGAGGCATCGTGGAAGATCGATTATTCCGCGATTCGATCTCCTTGCCCACCGTCGCCGGCGTCGTGCTCGTGCTGCTGGTCGTCCACGCGCTGCTAGGTGGCGCCGCTGTGCTACCGCTGCTGCTGTTACTACCGCTGGGAATGGCGGTGGAGGTTGCGCTCGCGGACGTGGAAGACACGGTCGTCGATGCCTCCGTCGCATCCTCCGTGTTGTTCAGTTTGGCTTCTATGATATGTTTGAAGAAGGCGTACATCTCGCCCACTGTGAACGTTGTTCCGTTTCGTACGGTGAACTTGTCGATCTTCATGTTTCTCATCAACTCCTCGGTGGCGTTTCGATTTTCCAGCATGGACAACTTCTCCGTCACGTAACTGTTCACAAACTCGTAGAATCCTTTGTAATAATTCTTACGGTGTTTCTTCTTGTCTTTCGATTTCTTCCCCTTCTCCCCGTGAGACTGGCCCCTCTTTTTCGAATCTTTTCGATTCTGCTTCTCGTTCCAACGCATCGACTTGTTGTAGAACCGCATTATTCTCTCGAACTCCCTCTTCAGTTTGATGAATTCCCGTTGATTTCGTATCTCGAAGTCCGAACGACCTCTGCCGGAATTGTTTCGCCGAGATTCGGACAGATCCACGTGGAAGAAGTTCTTGCTCATGGCGTTCAGCAGATCGTGCATGCTCCCGTTCGTGGAATTGTTGGATTGTCTTGCGTCGATTCGCTGCAGTTTACGGTAAACGATCTTCAGGAAGTCGATCATCTTCTCCTCGCGGAGACGCGACCTGTTCCCGTGGCCCGAATGCTTTTTCCACGACGGGGCTTCCGTGGTGTTGTCGTGACGGCTCGAGTTCGAATTCTTCGATTCGAGTTTGTGCTTCGAATGCTCCTTGCCCTTGTTCATCTCCAGATGCAGCAACTTCTTCCCGATCTTGCGGAAGAACTCGATAAATTTTCTGGAAAAAGATTTAATTCGACTTGCACAGATTTAGCGATTTTATCGTTGAACTTTTGGAAACCTCGTATTCCTTTTTTGGTAATTATAGCAATCACGTGCAAAGTAATTTCATAAATTGTATTCCTTTTCTATATTTGAAATATTTGAACAAATTTAATTATATAAATCGTGAAATTGATCCTTTATTATTCGATCAATTGTTAATATCATTGAATTCCTTTTTTTTAATATTGCAATTATGAGAACAAATTTCAGAAGCATTTCTCAAGTTCGTAACTCCTCCTTTTTTTACATTCAAATTCCAACAAACTTTACGTTAACAAAATCTACGACAATCTATTTCCAACTCACCTGTAATTCATAGTGAGATCCTCCTCGTTCACAGACCTCCTACGCCTGCTCCACCTGAGCCTGGGATGTTGTCCAGGGATGCACTTGGGCAACTCTTTGGGATGCCAGCTGCCCCCGATGCAAGTTGCCCCAGTGGGCCCGTCGTCCAACACGTAGCCCTTGTCGCAGTCGTACATAATTTGCTTATTGTTCACAACCTTCCTTACGTAGGGCCTGTAATCGTAGACACCCATGTTGCCCATCAAGAACACCTTCCCGTTCTCGATGAAACCGGGAAAAGGGCAGAACACTTGGTTGCAATGGGGAATGTCTCCGATCCAATTTCCGTATTGGCACTCGACCGACAACGAGGCGTTCAACGGTCCACCACCGATTATCTCGAACCCGTCCTTGCATTTAAACACAGCCTTCATCCCGTGATCGGTCTTGGGCGCTATCACCATCCCGTTTTTGGGCGATCTAGGCAGCTGCTTGCACCTAGCCGGCGAGCAACTCGGAACAATGGACCACGTGCCGTTATTGCAGACCACCGGTGTGCTGTTCGCCGCGAATTCGTAATTCTCCTCGCACGAGACCAGCAATCTCTCGCCATGCTCGACCACGGTCACGTTGTTGATGTGGTCCCTGTCGTGGCTTGCCACCGTGATGTTGCCGTTCTCTATCTGGGGGACCACGCACGGGGCGAGACACTGGGGCACCGGGTAACGCCATTTTCCATCGATCTGACAGACAGACGAGGTATTTCCCTCGAGTTTCATGTGATCGTTGCACCGGAAAATTATGCTGGCACCAAGGCCGGTACCTGTTGGAATGCGCGTGTCAAGAGGTCAGTGGAGAATTTTTGAACGTTTTTTTTTTTCTTTTTTGAAAATTCGCGAGTGCTTCATTCTTTCTTTTTTCTTTTTTTAGATGTTTTTAACGGTTTATGAAAATGAGAATAATAATCCAATTTTGTACGATTCAAGGTTCGATTCAAGGATTACGTGTTAGTCTGCGTTTGAAACAGGGGAAGTGTAATTAACACGAATAATTTAATTTATAATTCTCGAACAACAAGAATATATTAAAGCGAAATAAAATATAAAAAAATATATTTTTAATCTAAAAGTTTGTAATATCGAATCTCGATATCGAATTGAAAAAATTCCCCGATAAATTCTCGTCCCATTTCAGCGGTAAAAAAAATATTTTTTTTCGATTTTGCCCGCAAGCCACTTTATTCTCGTAACACTCGTGCTTATTAATAAAGAATTTCCTTCGTTGCCCCATCATGCGACTCACCCGCCTCGATATTCTCGATCCAACCGTTGTACAGGACACCAGGTGAACCACAATTAATCTCCTGGCAGGTCGGTGTCTTTCCGGTCCATTTTCTATCTGCCCCGCAACGTCTGGTCGTTGCGCCGACCACCGTGTATCCGTACTTGCACTCGTACGACACGATCGAATTGTATGCATACGAGGTGTACACCGCGTTCCCGTTCACTGGATTCTCCGGTTTCGGGCATTGCACCGTTGTAACCTGAACAGGAAATATTTCTTGGCTCGGAGAAAAACGTGCACGAGAAAGGGAGGAAAAGAGAGGGAGACTTTTAAAAACTGGGATATTTTTTGATGGCAAAATGTTCTTGGTTTTTAGTTTCAAATATACCTGGACAAATAATTAATGTATTGGGTGTATTCTTATTTTCGTACTGTCGAAGACATGGATATTATTGTCGAAAAAAAAAAAAAAATACTTACTTGGACGCATTGTGGAGATTCTTTGGGAGTCCATGTGCCATCCTCCAAACACAATTTTTCCGCTTTGCCAACCAATTCGTAGCCATCCGCGCAGTGATACGACACGCGGCAGTCGTACGTGTAACATTCACCTTTAACAAAAAGCGACGTGATCTCGCGTGAGAATATTTACAAGTGTCAAATATATTGTATAACGACGACACGAAGCTTTCATCGAACTGAGAAAAGAAAGGAATCGAAAGTCTTTATCTGAGATTTTGAATAAGGGGTTTAACTTCTTAAATGTACGGATATAACGAATATCAATACTATCTCATTCCTCGAGAAACGAATTTTATAAATAAAGATTTATAAAACTGCAAGCGACGATAAAGATCCAAAAATCATTCGTCAAAGATCAGAGACATCTTTTTCCTCCAATCAGATCCAGATAAACTATCCTTACGCATCCTAAAATTAAGAAGAAAAAGGAAATGTACATACCGGCGTGCCATCCGTTCGCGATATCCGCGGGAGGTCCACAGACTTTGGGCTCGCATGTGATATCAGGCCCGAACCAGCTAGCAACGCTGTCCATCATCAAACACTTGGCCTTCCTGATCCCACTAGTCGTATACCTGTGATCGCAGGAATACTGAACGTCGCTGCCTAGATCAAAGGTTGTCTGCTCGGCGGGCGCGTTGTGCCGCGCGTTCTTCACTTTGGGCGGCTGAGAGCAAAAGGAGCTCGCGTCCTTCTTGCACGAAGGCGTAGTTCCCGTCCATTTACCGTCGCCCCTGCACGTTCTCTCGGTCAAGCCAACGGTATAGTAATCAGGATCACAGGTGTAATGCGCCCGATCACCGAAAAACTTCCCCGTCATCGTCATCACGCCGTGCTGGATGTCGCTCAGGACTGGACACTCTCTCTCAGGCTTGATACAAGACATCCCGCAAATGCCGTCGCATCTGCATTTCTTCTTCTTGCTCTTGCAATCCTCGTCCGTGGAACACTTTCGAAGACACTTCTGACCCAACAGATCCGCCTGGCCCTCGTCCCTCGGGCACACAGCCGACGGCGAATTCCTCGGGTTCTTGTATATACGACCGTCGTCGTCCACCTCGGGCTTCGACTGATAACTCTGCTCGTCCGCGTCGTCGTCCTCGTCGTCCTCGTCGTCCCAGTCATCGTCGTCGTCGTCGTCGTCGTCGTCGGCCGCCTGTTGAGCGAGCCTCGCCTCGGAGGCGAGGAAAAATATGCAGAGAAGAAGTAGGTGCAACAAAAGGATCCCGCCTGGTCTCATTGTTATCAGGCGTCTCTCCTAGCTAGCTGGCTGGCTAGCTAACTTGCTGCTGCTGCTGCTGCTGGTGTTACCGAACTCGACTCGACTCACGCGCGAACAGAGGTGGCGTCTCGCCTCACCTCGGCGAGGAACAACGCACGTATGGTAGAGAGGCGTCGAGGGAGGGGTTATATGTATTACGATTTGTGTTATTAAACGTCGGCGTCACAAATTGAAAAAACGTGTTTCACTCGAGGCGATAATCGGCGGACGACGCGGCGTGGCCCATTGAACGGTGGATGCTCTCCGTTCCGGATGCTCCGCTTAAAGTAACAACGGTGGCCGTCTCATCCCGAGGCACCGCGCGCACGAGGACGACGTCGTTTCTCTTCTCGCGACCGTGACTATTAATCGAGTCTGCCTCTTCGGCGTCCAGGAGGATTAGGACGGTGTGCACTCTCTCTCTCTCTCTCTCTCTCTCTCCTCTCCACCGCTCCGCCTCTCCGTCCCTCCAACTCCGTGGCAATTTTTTTCTTTATTGTGCGGACTGCGGCCCCGTGCTGCCGGGAATTCGCGGATACTCGCGCATCTCTGCACGCGCATTCAGCCTGTTCAATACATCTCCTCACTCGTCCAGCTTCCAGCAGATGGCGAGGGACAGGGGAGAAACGCGGAATCGGAGTTGCGCAGAAACTTGGGCATCCCTTCCCTTTTCACCTGCTCCCTCCATCCTCCGCTCCTTCCCCCTCTTCCCACCCTCTCTATTCGCTCGCGAGGGGGTGGAAGATTCGATACACGGTTTTATACGCGGTAACAATCGGAAACACGATTCATTCGGGCCGCGTACGTCTCGAAGCGTATCGAACGCTCGCCTTCCCTCTGATCGAGGCAAATCTTTTCCACCTGTCGAGAGCCGCGTGTGAGGGGATGAGATGATTCCCCTTGGCGAGAAGAATGAATCTCTTCGAGGGTTTAATTGTAGAAAATGAAATTGTAGAAGCGAGATGGAAGGCGAGGGATGAAACGAGGAACAACAGGTACAGATTCTTGAGGCGAGAAGAGTTGCATCGGAAGAGGAGGATTTTATTATTTTCCCTGAATTTTAGTGAGCGTGTAATTGGTTCGATCATCTCCTTCGCTCGATAGAGGCAATGACTTTTAATCGAAGACCTATCATCCTCTTTTCCAACCATCTCGTGCACATCGATTCGATTTACACCATCGCATATCCGAAAGGTGTAAGCGGCGTGCGTGAAATATTTTCCTCGGTTCTCCTATCAGCGAGAAATATTTATCAAGGCCCCTGGCGCGTGGAAAAATCCAGTTTCTCGCGTCTCTCTCTCTCTCTCTCTTTCTCTCTCCCGTGAACCGTGGGATATTACAACGGGCTTTGTACAAATTCCATTCGAGGACGGGATGAAAAATGAAAGAGTGGAGAGGAAATATTGTCACCGTTGTACAAAACCCTTGTTGTTCGGCGCGTGTTCCGTGTAAACAAACTTATTCCTCTCCCCGAGGCGTCGCGATAACGCTTCCGTTGCGACGACGATCCACTCGATCCCTGCCATGTTTCAACGCGGAGGTTCCCAGAGGCAGCCAAGTAAACCGGCAATTCGAGAGCGCGGCTCCGCTCGGCTATTTCGAAGCGCGCCAGAATCCACATTCGTATCTCAATTACATACATTTTCTCAGCGTCGCTCTCCCGAGAAAACGTTACCCTTTCGCAAACACGAAGGAGGGGCGCGTGCTCTCCACACGAAAGTCGCCACGCTCCCCGGGTTAACGCGTCGAGTCACGAAGGCTAACACAGCACCTGCAGCCACTTTCCAGCCCCGTTTAACACGTTGCCTCGCCCGCAAGACAAATTGTACCTCGCCCCTGGAGAGGAGAGAAAGAATTGCTTGTAATCGAATCGCGTTCGAATTTTCACTTCAACTTTTCACTTCAACTAAAAGCTAAAATCTAATCGCTTGAAGATTTTATCGAGATTCGAAAAGAAATTTGAAGAAGGAACGATCTCGAAAGCTCGATAGCTAAACGAGATTTTAGATTTAAGATAATTTTATTCTCCATGTATATTGAGGAATAATACACAGGAGTGTAATTAATTTCCACTCTATCCGCACAATTAAATTCGAATCTCTGTGAATTCGCAGGGAGCAACTTAAAGATGGAGGCGTGGATGGTGGAAAGGGATAGATTTTCAAAGTGACGAAACTCGAAGGATTCTTAGGGCGTTCGAGATAATACGGCCGGTTCCAAAGTTAGAATGGTGGTCGTTAGGGAGCAAATCCACCATTGTCTTCGTAACGATCGTAATCAATCGGCACGGTTCGATGCCTGGTACACACGGTAGGTGATCCCCGGCTCAATCTCGGCTATCGGCTTCATCGTTCTCGCCGCGTGTCTCCCGGATGTCTTCATTTGTCTTATTCAAATGAGACGGCCGGCCTATCTCGACCTCTCCTCCTCCAATCCTCGAGGGATAGGTGAAGAAGAAAAAAGTGGTTTTATCGAGGAATAATGGGGAATCGCCGCGATTCTCTACCCTCGTTTCACAGGACAGGTTTCCGCATAGGGGTGAAATTTAATTGGGGCGTAATTGACGCGAAAGAGGCGATTTTACAGAGTTTTATATAACGCGTTTTAAACGGAACGGATGTTTTGGAAAAGTTTCCATCAAAGCTTTCGGCCGAGGAGGAATGAAAATGAGAAATAAATTTGTGAAATTTTATATTGGAATATTTACACGCAAGATATTATTGCACAGGGGTGGTCTTTTTAAGATGAAAAGAAAAAGAGACACTTTTTTAGCAATTGCACGTAAATATTTAAAAGGAAATTTCACGCAAGAATTACATGCAAACTGGTTTTACATCAGAAAGTGAAGAGACACGGTTTTGAACCATAGTTTAACACTTTAAGCCCTGAATTACGTTGGCTTTACTTCGCGCCTGCTGCTACGAAGCTAAATACCGTATTTCCAAGCGCATTGTAATATTCTGGGAGGAAACTTCAAAGAAGAATTCGTTGCTCGTGTGTTTCAATTTTCTTTAATTCATCGATAAAACGGTAATTTTTATAAATAATTTTTCGAATCCGTGTGTGAACGAATTACGATCTAACCTTGGAAGAAGACAAATTTCTGGAACATCCGATCGTATCCCTTTCTTTATCCTCGATAGAGGCGAGCCCATTGAAATTCAGTATTCAACGAGTTCGTAGAACTAATTTTCAAGAGTGATCGCGTTCGCAATATCGTGGGATACAAACGACGTAACTTTTCCTTTCCTCGGTGACAAGGTGAATGGCGAGGGTTATTCATTGTCGAGAGTGTATCTTCGTTTGGACGCGACTGTCAGGTGAGATTGACAGAGTGGCAGTAACTCGGTAGCTGAAAATGGGAGTGGCTGAAAGACGAGAGGACAGCTCGCTCAGCGACATCCCTGTGGCGCCTCTTCGCGGATCCTCCGACTAAGAAGTAAGGACGCGAGGAGACAGAGGTTCTCAACCTCGGTTTCGCCCGAGTTAAAAAAATTATATCGAACTTTGAAAAATTGTGTCTCGAAAATTCGTTCCTTCAGAAACTTTTCATTTCATTTCGTTCGTTGAGTCTTAAAAATATTTTTCAATTTTGGAATTTGGATTGATCCAAATTGTTATTTCAATTTTTCTTTTCTTTTTATATATTTGGATATTAAAAAAGTTATATTTTTATCGCAAAGTTCTACTATTTCTGCTCCGTTCAAAATTTTCCCCGAGCAAAGACACTGTGAAAATGATTACCATCTCGCCGTTGAAAACTATAACGTGGAAGTTTCTTAATTGAGGAAATTTTCAGAGTAAATCTAATTACCTAGTCGCATCCAACCCCCTTCTCCAATTACTCTCGCTTGATTTTACTCATATTCGACGCTCCCTTTTACCTCGTTAAACGTTATTTCGAATCCACGTCGCCCCCAAAAATCAACATTTTTATAAAATTGCTTGGAGTCAAAAGTCAATAATCTCTCGTCAAAAAAATCGATCTCGTAACAATCGATCAATGCTTGAATAAAAAAAATCCCTACGAACGAGAATAATCTTTCTAATTATGGAGCTTAAGACGCGTGAGCATACGACAAGGTCTTCTTTGTAACGACTCCGTAAGAGATGGTGATCGAAGCGTGAATAGGCGAATCACCGTCCTTATTAAATAAACGAAACGCGGCACCACTCGTTGGCATGAGATTCTCTGCGAAAACCAGTTTTGTTCTACTTGTTTCGTCAAATGAAGAATGTCCTTTTTGTCTCGCAGTGGGCGGTACGCTCGTCTCGCGGAGCTGAAAGAACGATGAGCTCACGGTGTCAGCTTACATCTACGTGCCTACGTTATGTCACGTTATCTTTTTTAATTATCTCCAACCGATAGAAACGTAACGATGCTGATAATAAATGCGAACGATCCTCTCGCCCCCGTCCTCTTCCCCCATCGGAGAAAAGTTTCTCTCTCTCTCTCTCTCTCTCTCTTCTTCTTCTCTCTCTCTCTCTTCT